CAATGAAGCTGAAGCTCCTCTGTGGTTGAAAAGTTTTGTTTACTTTGGTACTTAACTATTTCAATACGACAGCAGATTTCAACAAGCAGTTAAGTGCCTTGCTGGTCGAATAGGTAAGGCACTTGGCTCAAATTTGGGATGGTAACTCGAAGGTCGTCGGTTCGAATCCAGCCATTTCCAAATTTGTTCTTTTTCGGAAGTTTAGATACTTCGACTGCTTAATGTATGAGATCAAGCCATAATTGGGCATTTGGGCAACGTTGGATTGAGGAACGGGTCAGGAACTTAGAGTGTAGCGGGAGAAACAGGAACGAGAGCTACAAGATTACCCACGAATGGAATATTGTTAGAACGGACCTGAAAAGTATCATGTCACGCCCACAGAAGATTGAAACGAGAGCCTTAGTTTATTTGAAACCTAGATTTGGAGATTAGAAGTTTGATCCTACATAATACTAATTCATATGTATACAAATACAAAAGTGTAAAATGTGAATTATTACCGGACAGTATGTCGTCAATAAATGCAATAAAGTGCAATTAAAATGAAAAAAAATACGGACACAGTGATCATGAGTTGTCCTGTAATTGAAGATCCCAGTTGTCTTTGTCACTGTAAGTATGTCTAGGTTTTAACCAGGTTAGATCAAGATGTCTGGCAAACTGGTTCGCTCTTTATACTATCACTAGCTTTGCATCGCCTGCAAATGCAGCTATGAATCTTAAACTTTGACTGTACCTTTATCATTTACTAATATCTTCCGATTGAACCGACCACCTGAGTTTAATTACAAAGACCATGACCTACATTCAGTCAACTTGAAATTTATCATAAACAACATCAAAGGAAACTAAGAATAGAAGTATTCCAAAATCACGACAGAAAATATTCAACCATGGCTTTCCATGTGACAATAAAAATGATTTGGAATTTAATAAAAAATATTCCACTTAGTTTTTAATCAAATTTCAAGTGAAGAAGTCAAAAGTTTTTTGATTCTAAAATGCAACTAAAAATTCTATTAATTTTACATCTGCTGCTAGCTTCAATTTGTGCTGATAAATACGTAATTCAAGCTATTAATGACTTTATAGAAGTTTCATATGTGCAAAATAATCAGCAATTCGACATTGTCTTCTATGGAGAAGAACAAGATTTTATGGATGACTCATTAAGAGAAATTGAGAAGCTTAACATTCAAAGCTATGCATACAGCATAAAAGTAATCAATAATCCTCTAGAATGGGATCACATATTTAATCAATCAGCAATCATCTTTTGCCAACAAATTGAATTTTTAGCAGTTTTGCAGATTAATTCAAAGCTTAAGAATTTAAGCTACAAGGACATGAAGTTTTTGATCATTTTTAACCACGAATTTTTACTTTTCTCCAATTATTTTAGTAAAACTTCAAAAAAATCACTCAAAAGCACTTCGAAGTTGCAGGAAAAATTTATAAAAAATGACCGAAAAATCGATCCTCGAAGTTTAAATGATTTTATGACCAAAACCTACGTGACAGGATCTCTGAAAATGAAGTATGGCGTTATTAGTCAATTCCAATATTTTATTATTAATACCAAACATGAAGTCTACCTGGCTACAATTGATTGGTTCAGTCAAGTGTCATGCAATGAATTTCCAATTCTAAAATTCATTAATTCTATAAATAAAGCTACTGGAAATTGGAGTGAACATTTGGAAAATTACAAAAAGTTTCATGACTTCCATGGCTGTCAACTGACTCTCGTTCACAGTAACATAACAAAATCTGACTTTTTTATGCAGCGGCTTTTATTCCAAAATATTTTCTTCGACATTCTCGCTGAAAAGGGGAACTTTACAGCTGTTCGTGCTGAACATAGCTCCACTACTGTTGGAAATGTCTTTTTATCTGGATTTATTAACCTTGAGCCAGATTTACTACCAATCCACACAACATCAACATTCACAAGCTTTACACTACAATTCTTAACAACTCCTGGTGAGCTGTACACGTCCTACGAGAAGCTATTGATGCAATTTGACAAAACTACTTGGTGTCTCCTCATCATCACATTTTGTATGTCCTTTCTTGTCATCATCATTATAAAGATGTTACCACGTGCTTTTCAAAAAATCATCATTGGAAGTAACATTAAATCACCAGGCCTAAATGTCTATTTTCTTTGGAATTGCTCAAATTCGAGTTCCACGGAATGGATTTCCACGATTTTTATTCATTTATTTTATCTTCTTCTGTTTGATTATTCGTACGGCTTATCAAGGTTTACTTTTTGAGCTGATGACAAGTGACAAGCACAAGCCAACACCGAAAACAATTCAACAGCTTATCGACATGGATTATATAGTATATGGAATCAGAGTTCTTGACTATTATGATGGGTGGTTTGAGGATGATATGAAGTGAGTACGTCGTATGGCATAATCAACTTATAAATTGATCCTATTCATAGGAATTTTCTTACTTTGCGCAACATTTTACTGCGCAATATTAAAAAGTCTGCGCACTCTTTTACTGCGCCATTATAAAAAGTCTGCGCACTGTTTTACTGCACCATATTAAAAATTCTGCGCTCTTTTTTACTGCGCCAAATTAAAAAGTTTGCGCAATCTTTTACTGCGCCAAATAAAATATTTTGAGCATCTTTTTTTCTGCGCCATCTTAAAAACTTTGCGCACTATTTTACTGCGCCATATTAAAAAGTTTGCGCACATTTCTACTGCGCACCTTTTTATTATGTCATATAAAAAATTAAGTACTATTTCATTTCCAGACCAAAATATCAACTTTTTAACAGCTGCACCACACTCTACAACGAGTTCCAATCTAGAGCTTCCAACTCATCAGCTAAAATTGCATTTATATTCTCAGACATTCAAATTAAGCTTATAAAAAAATTATTAAAATTTAAGCCAATTCAAATGGACGAAAACTTTCTGACATTTAACATTGGATTTGGATTTAATGCAAATAACTTTATGTTTAGCTTGACTGAAGATTTGATTGAGTATTTACATCCGATGGGAATCATACAGCATTGGGTTGATGCAGAGTTAACGAATATTCATAATGGATTCTCAAGAGTTAAGATTCCAAAGGTTTTGACGGTTGAGGACTTAAGTTTTGGATTTGTACTGTGGTTGATGGCTTGTTGGATGTCTTTTGTCTGTTTTGTTGTTGAAGTTTCTTACATTAGGCTGAAGGAGGTTGTGAGGATTGGAATAGGGTTGGTGCTGATGTTCAAGATACTGTATAGTAGGAGTTATCATGGTTAAATCAACTATGGAATGATTTACGTCATTTTTCAATGTGGAAGTGTAAGTATGGCTAACTTAGCTTCGAATGTGAGAGGCCATGCGCTGTAACCTTCTTAGGGGGACACCTTAATAGATAATATATGCTAATTAATGTTCTATAATGAATTTACTTTCATAGTTCAGTCATTACTTACACCCGAATGGCCGGTGCGATTTTAAAACAGTGCTGCATTTAAAAGAAGCTAGTTCCGTGCCAATGTCATGCCGTCTTGACGCCAAATTTCTATTCGATTAAATTATTTGGCTATTCGAGACATAGTTTGCTTGCTCAAAATAATGTTTTTTTCCTGAACACAACTTTTTGTTTTAAAAACATTTTAAACATCCCTAGAGATCGTTATGATATGTCACATGAGCTCCTCATAAACAAGTTTTTCCTTTTTATACAAAAAATTTGAAAATTTACTTTAAAATAATTTTAATAGACAAAAGGAGATAAATGACTTAATGACCAAAAAGAGCAAGAGTTCATGGACACATTAAAATTTATGTGCGGAGAAAATGTGACAAAAAATTAAATGGATAATGTCATGTGTATGGAAATTGAAGAGGGTCTGCTTTTTGTTTATTTTAAGATAATAATATTTTTGGTAATTTAATAAAAATTGTATGTAAGTTTATAGGGTTTATTGATAGATGGAAGGGGTATTAATCAACTAAGGACCCCTTGTCTGTGTCCATTAATTGCACTTTTTGTTAATAAATATTTAAGTAGACTTCAAACGTTGTTTCGTTCATTCATGCTTTACACGCCGCGTAGCATTTGAGTCATCGAATGTAAAGCAATCAAGTCCCATGTATGTATGTATGTATGTATGTATGATTTATTAAACCTTTTCGGTTGACGAATTTAATTCCTTTTTTCTCTCTTCTCTCCTTTAGAAAAGGAAAAAGCCTCCTCAAACAGTACTTAAACTGTTTGAAGATGCATAAAAAACCTTGAGGAGAGAAAGAAGAGACGTTTTGCATTACATTATTCAGTTAATAAAAATTAAAATGTGCATTGAGAGGGGCAAGAAACTTTTACATTTGTAACGGATAAAAAATATTTGAAATAAACGAACTGTACCAAAATGAACTAAAAAGTAAATATTATGAAAATTTGACAATATTTGTGAATTATAATTAAGTGAAACTAGTGACAAATAAGAAGATAAACGATATCAGCGGATCAAATCTTGATATTTAACAACAAATAAATTGCATCAGATATGTATTAAACCCTGACAACTGTGAAAATTGTTATTTTAAGTCTCGACTCAAGAACTGGTTTTCTTTTAATAAAATTTCTTTTTTGCTCAACAGGAACTTCTTAAGCTCTCGCTTGAATGGAATGATGTTATTGATTGACTTCAGCGATGTAGGCAGTTGATTGAAAAGTGCTATACCAGTACAGCATAAATCGTTTTTTTTTATACTGGATCTGGTCGAATGAATCTTAATTTCATTAATTCCATGATTCAAACTCATATGATTTTTTTTTGACAATAAAAGCCGACTCACATGGACAACTTATCCGTGCTGGTAATATAAATTTCAGCTTGTTGATAGTTGTCACATGTAAGGATATGAGTGTATTGTGTAATATCTTGATAAAATGACATTATCTGGGATTATCTTGAGTAGGTTGTTAAATGATTAGATTAATTTAAGGTTTCTTAGTATAAATTTGGAAGCATTTGATGATTTTTCATTACTTTTTAGTGGTTTGTTGTGAATCAAGTGTAAATTATTGCTGCAAAATAAAAAAATATTGACTTTAAAATTGAAAAAAATTTAAAAATTGTAAATAATTAAAAAAGTTAAAAACTCGACACTTTTAAATTTTAAAACAAATCTAAAAGCACCAAAAATGAAGCTTCAGATCACCATCCTCATCATATTCATCACCCTGCACCTCACAACCCCTCAAATCCCAACAAAAAATCACCTCAAATTACCAATCTTCAACCATCTTAACAGCAAATTCCTGAACATCCCAAAACCTCCATCAAACTACAAAGCCAGCCCTCATGTCACTGAAAATTGGATCCAACAACAAATCGATCAATTCAATCCACAAGATCACAGGACATTCTCACAATATTACAGCATGAATGATGAGTTCTTCACAACTGGAGGTCCAATTTTCATCTTTATGTTCATGATGCCATTTTATTCATATCTTGGTGAGATTTACTTGTCTTATGGACCAATTTATGATGTCGCTGATGACTTCAATGCCACAATTGTGTTTCCACATCATCGATATTTTGACAGGTCGCTTGTTTTTGAGGAAACGACAGTTGAGAATTTGAGATTTTTATCAATTAATCAAGCTATTGAGGATCTGGCACATTTGATTGCTCATTTGAGATCTGACGAAAGTCGACGAGACTCTGACATAATCTTAGTTGGATGGGATTATGGCGCAAGTATGGCAACCTGTTTTGCACAGAAGTATCCACATTTAGTAACTGGTGTTTGGGCATCAAATGGAAAATACAATCCAAGTTTCAATCAACCAGAAGTTGTGAAAATTGTCGAGCAGCAGTTAAGGGCCTTTGGGTCTCCTGGATGTGCTGAAAAAATTGAAAATGCATTTAATCAACTTGAGGAAATGATTGCCAATAATCAGTCAAACATCATTCGCAGACGATTCAATTTTTGCTTCCCAATTCCATACCAGCATGGAGATTTAGACATCCAGTACCTTTATGAGCTATTGACTGTGCATTTCTATGGATATTCACTGGTTTTTGATCAATCTTACATTGAGAAATATTCATGCGGGACATTTATGAATGCTCCAGTTGAGCATGACTGGGAGGCACTTGGATATATCCTCGGATTATTGTCACTTCCATTTCCAATCTGCTATCCTAACAGCTTTGCTTTCCAAACAGAAATTGTTAAAGAGAATATTAAAGCTGATTGGGAGATGGCATATGGAAGGACGTTCCTGTATCTTGAGTGCATTGAGTATGGATTTTTCTTCAATTCTGGCGATGGTTCGAGCATTTTTGGATCAAAATTTCCATCTGAATTCTATGCACATACTTGTGAGGAAGTCTTCGGGTGAGTCATAAATTATTAACTGCCTTAAGCGCCACTTATCATACCTGATAAGATATAAATTGCTATAAATAACTCAATAAACATTGTTACTTCCTCTAATTATAGAATAACCGGCGAACAAATGGAATTAAATTACCAAAGATTCACAACAATGCATGGAGGACGTCAACCAGTTGTCAGAAACGCTTACTATACTTTTGGTGAAGTTAATCCATGGATTAATCAAGGAATTGATAAAACGACGATCGATAATTCATCATATTATGAATTAATTCCATGTAAGTTGAAGTGAAGTATTCAGTCATTAACCGCTGTGCTTAATAATTCCAAATTTATGTTTAGTGAGAAGTATTCATACGGAACTTAGTCTCGATATTGACGATCCTCATTTCGCAGAAGTCAGAAGAAGAGTTTATTCAGCTATTCGCAGGTGGTTGAAACATTAAAGTAGAATTATGTAGTAAAAATAGTCATTTAAACTTTTAATAAATAAGAATTTTATTTTAAAATTATGACTTAGTATTATGATAACAAGGCTATTCGGAGGCGCCCGTGGCGCCTGTTATCAGGGTTTAAATTTGATTACTATTATGTAAATAACTGTAAGACGGAAATAACCATAATATTTTAGGGTCAATCCTATCTCAAAACTTCACATGGCTTCACAAACCCCCTCAAATTTGGACCCACCTTACTCCACACATGACACCCATCCCCCACCTGATACCCATCCCCCACCTTATCAACACTCCCCAAATTATTGGCTTCATACGACTTCACAAATGGCTTCACGTGGCTTCGGTTCTAGAGTCAGTGAATTGGTCTATTATAATATAGATTATTATGATTAAGGGTTCTAACGGTTTCTAACCTTAAGCGGTGAAATGTCACAAGTGGCCAAAGTTATAGATCATTGGTCTTACGAACCAAGAGCTTAAAAGTCCTAAGTTCAATCCCAGACCAAGACAAGTTATAGAAGCTCTTTTTCCATTTAACCGTTCTAGTTACGAAGCTCAGTTCGTGTGTTCGATGTTGGATGTAGTTTTGGGGTCTTCGGCACAAAATGTGTCTTCTTTGCTAGGTATACTAGGATATACTAGCATCTGGATGACTTCTTTGCGGCATCTTGTGCACACGAGTTGTGACTAGGTTCATTGCAGGGTACATCAGGTCTTATGACGTACTCGTGTCTTTGCAATGTGCAGAGCTTGCAAGTGGTTCGGATCCCACTATAAACTGTTGGTCTAAAGTGTGTGGTACAATAGATTCTGTTCTAATTTGAATCGCAATGCTTCCAGCTCATTAATTCTGTGCCCTCTCCATGATTTACCTTTTTGCTTCGTCTTAAAACCTTCCACATTTCATACCCTTATTACAACATTGCTCCTCAAACTCCAATAATTCACGTTTCAAATCTCAAATGATTTCTTGTCTCAAACAATGCAATTGGTCAAGAAATAATAATAAAAAAGATGTTCGTCTTTCCTTAAAAAATGAACATTGGCTGTGCTGTGAATATCAAATAGTTTCAGACTGTCTTCTTCGTGTGGACAAGTAAGGATGAAAAATGTGAAAAAAACTTAGAACAAAAATAATTTATTTTGTACGACATGGCAAGTCTGTCATGATTTATTGGCGATGTGGACACATGAGATGCTTTGGATTGAAGGTTCCAAAAATAAAATGGCTTGAAAAATTTAATTTAAACTTTTCAGTGAAAATAAGTTCACAAAAACACGAAAAAGTCATTAAAATTTCCATCAAATCAAGCAAATTTTTCCTTCAATAATTCAAATCAAATAAATATTTTCAGACAACAGCACAAAAATATTGAAAATTCATAACTCAATTCATTCAAAATTCAATGAGATTTATCTAAAAAACATGAATTAGAATGGAAAAAGTCAGACGAGCAGCACAAAAATCCATCAAAATTTCAAAAATCCAATTTTTGTTTTCCATTTGAAAATTTATTTTTCATTGTTTTGATTTTTGAATTTTTATTGGAATTGGATTTGATGTTTGTGGTGTTGTTTGGGATGACTAAGGTTGTAGTTTTGAGTTGACTAGCTTTTCTAAATAATATGAAGTTTAGCTTGTGTAAAGGCACGTGTACCACAAAACGTTATTGTGAGGACACCTGAAATTCAAAATTACTGATACGAACAATTCATGTTCGGCAGACTTATCGAAAGTCTAGGGGAGTTATAATATGCACGTTCGAAAAGTTTAAATTTGAAAAAAACCGTTACAATTTTGTTGATTTTATTGTAGTTTTTGATCGTTTTGAAAAAGATTTATCTATATTATGCTTATCCTTAAATGACTACATAATATTTTCATCTAAATTTCATATAAATCTTTCTTAATTTAAGTTTTATTTTTTTCCTAATTTTCGAAAATTTCGAACTGCAGGGTATGAAACTTCGAATTTTGTATGGCAGACAGACAAATAAGATATTTTCACAAGTTTTCTTGGAAACTGTAACGGTCGAAACCATCGAATTGTTCGTATCAGCAAAATTATTTTGCAAATGCACCTAATAATTTTAACCTTAAAATAATAATTTTTTAATGTGATGACACTTGAATCACAAAAAAATTCAATGTGAAGACACCTGAAGCCAAAAAACTTCAAAGTGAAGACAGTTGAAGCAAAAAAAAACTTCAATGTTAAGACACCTGAATCATCAAAATCCTTAATTTGAAGACATCCAAGCGAAAAAAACTTCATTGTGAAGACACCGGAAGCTTAAAACATATAAATGTTAAGACACCTGAAGCAAATAATTTTTTAATGTGATGACACCTGAATCATCAAAATCTTCAATTTGAAGACATCTAAAGCCAAAAAAATTTCATTGTAAAGACACCTGAAGCCAAAAAAATTTAAATGTGAAGACACCTGAAGTCAAAAAAGCTTCAATGTGAAGACACCTGAAGGCAAAAAGCTTCAATGTGAAGACACTTGAATCGTCAATTTCAGGTTTTTACCCTAATTCCATCTAGTTACCCAAAAAATATTAAAAAAATTCAAAACAAACACAAAAATTGACAAGTAAAAAAATTTGAATAAATCCAATAAAAACAACTTTACCAATGTTCGATTGACCAGAATGTGTCACAATACATTCTTTAAAAATGAAAGAAGCAAAAATAAAAATGTAAATTTATGTCTGACTTGCCTTGTTCCTGTCCCTTTTTTAAACCTACTCACACTTGAATATTAGACATGAAAAATATTTTAACATTTGAAATGAAAATAAAAATGAAATAAAAATTTTTCATCTTTCGGACGTAGAGAAGTGAAGTTGCTCATACTTATCACATCACATTTGGAATCATCTTTGAAAGGGAAAGGAATGATATGTGTGTTTTGGAGGTTCTCATAGATCTTGGATTGAAAAGACTGAATAAATTCAGCTATTGTTAATTCATAAAAAAAGAAGAGCCTAATTGTTATGTGTGCATCATATTTTGGGGTACACTTTAATGTCTCTTCTAGACTGACGCATGCTAGTTTTTTTGGCACAGTCTATTTTTTGATTGATCTTCCTGAATTATTTAAAATATTTAAAATATATTTGTGCGCTATATTCAAGGAAATAGTTTACTGTCTCTCCCATTATGGCGCACGTCAAGTTATTTGATGTTTGGCATGATTTTGGCGAGATTTGGGGAAGTCCATGAACCAAGATGGCTTATAAGCTAAGAAAGAAAAGCTTTACTGAGAAGATTATGTTAAAATGTTGCAAATTTAGTCAAAGTTCCGAAAACCATGCAACTTTGACTGACTTGACCCCCTAAACCCTCACAAATCATCTCCTTAATCCACACAAAAACTCATTTCTCATCCAAACCACATTCTCATTCCGAATATTCTTCTGCTCCTTTCTACTAGGCAACACACAACAAAAATACATTTTTTTTATTAAATAATAAAAACTCCCCACATTCTCATTTGTCAGAAAGTTTTACTTTTTCTTGTTCCTCGTTGCTCATCTCAGGAAAAAAATGATCCATTGGTCCTTTGGGAAATTGTGTGTGGCAGTTGAGAGTGAGAAGAAAAAAATATGAAATGTGGACAGAGGTCATGATGGTTGGCGTGGGTGGTTGAAGATGTGAATAGATTGTGTATTTTTGGGAAGTTCTTGACGTTTATAATATTTTTGTTGATTTTAAAAACTTTGTTTATTGAAATTCTAATAGAGTTATCAAAATCCTCTAAAATCCAGCAATCAAGTCAACTTAACCCCCATAAATAATTCAAATTCCCCCAAAAAAAAGGTTAAAAGTCACATAATCAGTGTCTGTTTCCATTAACTTATACTCCTACCTCCAAAAATCCTTAATTCAAATCACTCATTTTTATTATCTTCTCTTGATTTTTTTTTTATATTTATAAACCAGCATAGAGGCACGAATAACACTAAATGAAATGAGAATCACACACATACGCAACAGCGCAAATGAGGAATCGAGGAATGAAGAATGGAATGGAAATTAGAATGAGTTATAACATCAAGCAAACGAGAGTCATCAAAATGCTCGCTGGGGAATGGGGGAGGGGAAGGAAGTAGCAGCAGGAGAGGTTGAACAAATAATAGGAAGTCAGAGATGGAGTTGAGAAAATTAGGACGCAAAAGTTTTCTAAATTTTGAAAACTTTATTCAGATTTTCAAGTTTTTTTTCTCAAATTTTAGAATTTTTTTTAAAATTTTTTTAAATATTTCGAATTTTTGATTTTTTAAAATTTTTAATTGAACTGTTTTGAGTTTTTTGAATTTTTTAAAATTTTTGTATTATTAGTTTTTTAAATTTCTTTTGTTTTTTTAACCTTTTTTGATTTTTTGAATTTTTTTGAACTTTTTAATTTTTTTTAAATTTTTTGAACTTTTTAACTTTTTTTTGGTTTTTTTTAATTTTTTTGAAGTTTTTTAATTTTTTGAGTTTTTTGATTTTTTGAAAAGATATTTTTGAGTTTTCAATTTATTTGATCAAATAAAAATCAAGCCGTCAGCCATCCATGAAACCCATATAGTCACTCCAATCCATCACATAATCCCAACCACAACACAAACATATCAAATAAAAAAAAAAAAGGAAGCAAAGGAACGGATAATCTAATTTAAAAGTAATAAATCTCCAGTGATTACATTAACATACACAAATAAACATGCAAAATACAAAAAATAAAGCCACAAAAAAAATCCACTTCCTTTCTCATCCACATCAGATGTGGTAAATAAATCACAGACGCGATTTTTTTTACTGCCTTTTGTTTAAATTCATAGACGGATGAGCACTGACGAGGGAGAAAAAAAATTTGCGCGAAATGTAAATTATTTGTGAAAAATTTAGTCAAATTTGTTTGTTTTCGTCACGACTTTTTGAATTTATTGGAGGTGCGGATGTGAATGCTTAGTTGAATCAGTGTTATGGAAAATTTAAACAATTTTATGGTTTGTTGATGTCGTTAAAATTGATGAAGGACAGGGGTTAGAGGGGTTGGGGTTAGTATAGAACACATCATGTAGGTTAAAAATGTCAAAAATTTGTCAATTTATTTCAATTTCAGGTTTTTCAGTAACCCCAAAGTTTAAAGTTATTTCCAAACGACTTTTTAGGCTTTTCAGTGTCAAACATTTCAAAGTTGATTTTCCTGCAGTTGTGTTTTGTAGCTCCTTTAATTCTGTACTCATAAATGAAGATCAAACGCCATTTTCCAAAAGAATTTGCATTAACCGATTCCATATTAAGTCCCATTAAGGTAAATGGGACCATATTGAATGTCCATTCGGTCTGAAAATGATTAATAAATGTTAAAGACGGTTTAAATCCTTATCAATCCCCTTGCTTACCCCTTTTTCAACAGGACACTTTGGAAAATGATCCATGTAATAATAAAATGGTTGAGTTCGATCATGAAAAGTGAAGCAAAAGTTGCCATATCGTCCACTAAATCCAAACATTAACCATTCACCTTGGTGATATTTTTCATAAAAAATCCTTCCTGGTAATTTGTCAAATCCGATCAAAAACTTCATAGAACCGTTGAAGAATGAATAAGTGTCATTGACTCGAATCACTTTGAGGTTTGTCGTGTCAACTGCATTGATTTCTTCACCAGGGACAAGATCATTGCATGTCACTATGTCTAAAGTTATAAACATGTGAAAAATCTAGTCGAATTTAATGAAATTTTACACTTACTTGGTTCGGGAACAACGAGGATTTTGACATTAACAATTGTTAATTTTACTATGAATAAAAATAATATTTTAGTTGATCTTAGATATGTCATTTCTAATCTCTTTCTATGGCCTAAATGTTTAGAATAAAACTAATTTTGTATTTGTTTGTGATTTTTTAATAATTATCAAATTTTTAAATTGAACATTTATTTGAAATTATGTATAAAAGCAACTAGGTTTGGTTTATTTAAAGCTGACAAGAAGTACTCTTTATGGCTTTTATAATGACTTGATAGAGCACAAGTCTAATTAATATAGCACTAACCAAAAACCAAGAACCAAGAACCAAGAGCCAAAACTCAAGAACAATCAAGAATCAAGAACCAAGAACCAAAAACCAAGAACCAAGAACCAATAACCAAGAACCTGAACCTGAACCAAGAACCAAGAACCAAAAACCAAGAACCAAGAACTAAGAACCAAGAACCAAGAACCAAGGTTCAGGGTTATTAACCGAAATCTGATAGTTCATAGATCATCCTTATTGCTTATCATGCCAACCATAATTAATTTGAATAACATTTCATCCACCACGTTGAGATTTAGTTCCAGAAAGTCCAGCAGGCTTCTTTGGCTTCTCAGTTTCAACAATTTCAAAGTAAATTCTTTTGCAATCAAATTTGGTAAATCCATTAACTTTATGGTCAAAAACAGTAATCATACGCCAGCGTCCAATATAATGTAGAGGAAGTGGATCGATATTTAAGCCCATCAAAGTGAATGGAACCATATTGAATGTCCATTCAGTCTGCAAATTTATAATTTCGATTAACCAAAAATTTATATTGAAAATTTATCAAAGCTCACCCCAGCTTCAATTGGACATTTTGGAAAGTGATCCATAGTAAAGTAAAATGGCTGTGTTCGGTCATGATAAGAATCACAAAAGTTTCCATATTTTCCATCAAATCCTTGCATCGTCCATTCACCATTATTGTACTTTTCGTATAGTAATCTGCCAGGTACTCGACTTAAGTCCTTTAAAAACTTTATTGATCCTTGGTAATATGAATTAGTTTCGTTGACGCGGATGATTTCGAGGTTATTGTCAATTAAGTTGATTTCAAGGCCCTTGACAGCGTTCCAGTCACTACAGGATGTTAGTTCTAGTGTTGAAAGAATTGAAATTTGAAATTTTAGTGTCTAAGTTGAAATAGGAGCAGGCTTCACTTAGTAGCTGTAAACTTTGATAATTTTGACTTACTAGGATCCGGAATGATCAAAATTTTGGCAGCAGTTGGATGAAATGTCACTAATAATACAGAAATTATGAGAATTACAGACATTTTCATTGTTTGATCTATGTGTGAAAAGTAGTCAACCTCCAGCAGTATTCATAAAGACTGAAATATCTCTAAAAGTAGCTTAAGCCTCAAATTTAAGGTTCTTGATTGTTGCAGACATTAAAAATAATTGTTGTTAAAATTTCAATAATTATTTATTTTTTGAAAAAATTACATTTGATGATTTTTAATTCCTCAATTAGAATAATTTTGGATTTCAAAAACTTAGTCTAATTAAAGCACAAACAAATTTCAATTTAATCTCAACATTTCAGGCTTTGTATTCGCGATTAAAAATCGATCTTCTCCAGTCGCTGGTCCACCAAGGATGAAATATTCATCATTAAGTCCGGAATCTATTCGAGCAGAGTTCAAAGCTTGTCTTAATGCAAATAAGATTGATACAGACATGACAAGCGGTGGCTCTCCAGCAGCTGAAATTCAAAAATTTTATAAAAATTCATCCTAACCTCAAAAATTCAATTTCTCACCTTTTGAGCTCACAATCCTCTCCCCATTTCCTTCACGTCTTCTGATATTGACTCTAAAGTCCTTTGGTATGTCTTTGACACCTGGATTGATGTAGTTCCAGGTTCCATTAGTCAAAAGTTCTCCAGTTTTTGGATCATGGACGATTTTTTCCATCAACCACAATCCAAGTCCCATGACAAATCCACCTTCCATCTGTCCAATATCCATAGCTGGATTTACACTTTCACAGTCAACCGTGATGTCAACTCGTGGAATTTGAATGTTTCCAGTAAGGATGTCAACTTCAACTTCTGTGCATGTTGTGCCCCAAATGTCATAATTTGGCAAGTCTGATGGCTTGAACATGTAAAAAGCTAACAAGTCAACTTGCAGTTCATAAGCTTTGTCAATCAGCTTTTCCCATTCTGCAATTTTATGCTCAATTCTGACTGGTTCCAGTCGTTCGTGCAGAATCTCACAAGCTCTTCGAACAGCTTCACATGAAGCTTCACTGGTGATATTACCACCTGACACAGTCGCATTTGGTGATGCAATTGAATTCACCCACTTAATATTGATCTTATCCATTGGAATGTTCAGAGCATGTGAAGCTGTTTGTGTGACTTTGGTGACCAATCCTTGACCCATTTCAATTCCACCAACATTAACTGATACTGAGCCATCTCGGTAAAAGATTGAGACCAAGGCATGCTGAATGCCAAAATATTCTGTTGGATATTTGACTGGGACTATTGATATGCCACGTTTTGTCCAACGGTTTGATGAGTTGAAAGCTTGGATTTGGGCAAGGCGGTTGTAGTAGTCTGCAAAAAAATTAAATTTTAAAGTTGAATTAAGAAGGCTTGGCCAATACTTACCACATTCCTTAACAAACAGCTCCAACTGATTCTTCATTTCACTTCCTTCAGGCAAATTTGCAATTCTAACCTCAACAGGGTCCTTCTTTAACTTCCATGCGATATGTTCCATTGTATTTTCAATCATGGCGACACCTTCAAGTGGTCCAGGTGCTCTACACCATGTGAATGATGCCTTGTTGGTCCTTCCTTTGTAAGCTTTAATATTGTAATTCTCACTGTCGTACAAATGACATGTGAATGGTGTAGCACCCATTGTGACTGGTTCGTTGAAGCTACATCCAAAATCTTCAATATATTCGTGATTAAGAATCAGAATTTTGCCATTTTGGTCGAATTTTACTTCATAGTCGTTCATGTTTGGGTTTCTTAATCCACTAATGCTCATATTATCCTTCATTGTCTGAATAAGCCTGACAGGTCGATTTGTATGATGAGCACCAATAGCACATGCAGCACCAATTTGAGTGGATCTTGAAACTTTTCCTCCAAAACCACCACCAAGTCTAGAGACATACATGTTGATTTGATTTCTTGGCATGTTGATTGATTCGGATATGACAGTCTGGACTGCATCCATCCATTGTGTTGATGAATAGACTTCCATGCCTTTTTCATTTGGGATGCAGATGCAGGTTTGAGTCTCCATGTAGTAATGGTATTGAGAGCCGATGAAGAACTTTCCAGACACTGAAGTGAATTCTGTTGGATTTGGTGGATTTTCAAGGATTTTGCTGAAATCTGTGTCGAGTTCTAGGTTTGGTGGGGTTGACTTGACATCATCGAAGGTTAAGATGAGCTTATGATCTAAAAGAATCATATTTGTAGCTATGCAATTGAAGGCTTTAACAATATTACTCACCAGTATCTGTCGAATCGTCTTCAAACTTTACAACAACAAGCTTTGCTGCTTCATTCGCTAGTTCAAATGTATCAGCTAATATGATGCCAACTGGTTGATTATGGAACAGAATTTTAGAACTGCAGAAAATTTCTTCTGGTTCAGACACGAATAAAAAGTTCTCAGGCATGAATGTGTTCTTTCCTGGAATGTCTTTGGCTGAGTAAAATGCTGTGACGCCGGGAATTTTCTGAAATTATCTAAAATTAGCCAAAAACTTAAAATTAACAGTATATCCAACCAAAACTCACCAAAGCCTCACTAGCATCAATCTCCTTAATAATCCCATTAACCTTCTTTCCAGTCACAAATGCTGCATACAACTCATTTACCATTTTTGGCATGTCATTCGCAAATTTAGCTTCTCCAGTTGACAGAATGTCACCCTTAACATTAGGTACAGGATTTCCTAGGACTGTGCTGTTGTCATGTTTGTCAAAGTTCCTTGATGATGTCGATATTTCAGTATCGAGGAGCTTAGCACCACTTTTGAATTTTTTATCGACTTTGTCATCTGGCAGGATGCTAAGGATGAACTTGTAGAAAAGTGAAGATGCCAAATTTTGACGAAATTCTGTTGAAACTGGCAATAAAGTTGGTGTTGGAGTCACTTCGCTTGTAAGAACCTCAATAGCTGAAGTTATGACTTGATTGTCTTCGATGTTTTTGCCGATTAAGAACTTCTCCAAGTTCTCAGCTCTTTTGAATGTCGCACTGATCCCGCCAAAGCAAATGTAAGCTTTTGTGACTTTTTGATTCTCAAATTGCAGCATAAATGCAGCATTAACATAAGCTGGTATATTTTGGGATCTTGGCATGATTTTGTATGATCCGAATTTGGTAGTTGCTGGATCGTAGCTTGGCAATAAGACTTTTGTGATCAACTTCTTGTTCATGTTGAGTTCCAAAAATTCAGTCATCGTGACAACTTGTCGTGCATCAGTGGACGTTGCAATTTCTATTGTCGCATCTAAAGCTTGAAGAACCACAAAGATGTCAGACTGGAAGTCATGGAAGTTTTTGATCGCTAAATTCCCAGCAATTGTAGCGACATTCCTGATTGCGATGTTGGCTATCAAGTCAAAGTGGTCGTAGACCTTCGATAAGTATGAAAAATTGGAGTTTTCTTGTGAAACCTGCTTAAAAATTTCCATAGCTTCTGTGATTGTTGAATTCGCGCCAATTTCTAAGCTTTCATGCGTCAATTTAAAGGATTTAAGTGCCTTAACAGCTGAAATATCAATGTATGACTTGATATTCTTGTATGCTTTACAGACTTCATGTCCAATATTTCCAGCAACTAGCATGTAACCTTCATCATCCTTCAACTTATCCAGAACCTTGAAAATCTCATCAACTTCCATCACTCGATGCCATTTTGTTGAATCATCAAACTCAAAACTCAACTTTTCGTCCTTCTTTCCACATTTTTCTTGACAAGCTGCGCCAGTTTTGCTGCAAATTTTAATCTTATCAGCATCTTCAATATCCTCACTACATCCACCATCAACAGCTAAACTCTTAAATGCATCCATAATAGGACGATAGCCAGTGCAGCGACAGAAGTTGCCACCGAATGAATTTTCAACTTCGGACATTTTTACTCGATTATTTTTGGACTCTAGTAAGGAATACATGTTCATGACCATGCCAGGGGTGCAGTAGCCACATTGAATTCCATGATTCTTGACAATTTGCTTCTGAATTTTGTGAAGGCCTTTTTTGGTGCTGCCAACTCCTTCAACTGTTGTTATTTCAGTGTTATGGCATGAGTAGACGTTCTGCATGCACTAAGAAGGTAAGAGGAAGTGAAAATGGAGTTATTAGAATTTAATCTTTACTTATAGATTGATGGGGATCTCAAAAAATTGGGATTTTGTTCAGACCAATAGGAAATGAGTTAATAAAATCATGAGAAATGAGTAAATTTAGTAGATTTTTATATTAAGTCTGCCTCAAAAACACTATAAGCATTTATACTTACAGAATTTACAGCAACAACTGTCTCTTGGTTAGTCACTGGATGCATATACTTCATGGATACAGTACAAACTCCACAGAATCCTTCGAGACACATGAACTTTGTTCCACTTAAGTTTGCATAATTTCTGATGAATGAGTTCAGTGAAGTATTCAATGGAACAGTTGCGGGACTGACTGTAAATAATCGAAAATTTAATAAAATGGCAGTGGATAAATTAGGAGCCTTGTTTGAGGAAGAAAGAACTTAACCCACAAGACACAAGGCTTATAAATGTTCGAAAATGTGAGACTAGGACGGTATTAACGAAACACAAAGCCGGATTTGGTTAAATCAAGCGTGGTGCCGTGTGCAATTCGGGCAAGTGATCAAAATTGGAACAGATAAAGTCAAAATCCTCAGCAAAAATAGAAAAATATTGAAGAATATGCAGCACACCTGAGAACTTTTCGCGTTATGACAATTCTTTTTAAATATCGTTGTTCAGTAATTTAAACAGGTCTTGTTTTAAGGTTCGTATAGAAGACCTGCTCTAATCATAATGAAAATTTAACCATTCCCAAAATTGGAGTAATCAGTCAATCAGTCAATTCAGTCATTTGTCAATTCTAGTGGATCCCGGGAAGCCAATAAACCGGTCTTGGAGTACAATTTCAAGTTTCCAAGCAATGTTGATGATATGATTCGGCAAAAAAAAAAGAGTTACCGATCTACATTATCATCGTTATTAGTTTGGCTTGAGCACAGTTGCTTCGAAAATCGAATTGTCATCACAACAATTAATGCAAAGGTGATATCTGGTTTTTTTTTGGCATTTGCTTCTGATAAGAGAGTTCATATCATGTTAAGTAAGTAGTTTCTTCAGCTTGATAAGGATTGAATGGAGATTATTGACAAATGTTATAGAGATTGTCATAAAATGTTTATGTCATTTGTTAATCTTTCAGTAACAGCAGTAGACACAAATCAGTGCCTTTAAAGGAACGTTTTGCCGAGCAAGCAAATAATCTGGCATTAAACCGGTGAAGCATCGATTTGGTACCAAATACAAGCCATATGCTGGCTAAGCCGGCTAAATACTGGCAAAATCTGTTGCCATTCGGGAGTTGCGTTTCCTATTTTCTCTGCATGCATTCATTGCAGAGTCTGGCATCACTGTTTAACACACATGGTATTGCGTTTTAGACCTAAAATATTGCACTGTAGTTAAAGTACTCAAAAGCTCAAAGTTGTATTGTTCTACTAAAGTCTTGCATTCCTACTATCAAGGTCACACAAATGATGCACTCCCACAATGTTCTCCTCATCTGAATAATTTATTTGAATGATTTTAGAATAGTTTATTGCAAAATATGATTAAGTAACCTGTCACAGTAGTTAAGCTTTACTAGTTTAAGGTTTATTAACAAATATGTCTAAAACCCGAATGGCACAAGTCGGTTAATCGAAAAGAAAGTAAAGCGTAACTCTGGCATGGTGCTGCATTCAATTTGATTAAAAGTTACGCTAGCTTGTTGTTTTATTTCTATTAGATTAACCCTCCTTACCTTTGTAGCACTTTCCATTGATTTTAAATGAAACTTCCATTTTTATTCACTTTTTAAAATTATTCGAACTGTTCCTCAAAATGTACAAACTCAAAATGAGTAAAACAATTGCTGATCACTTCTCGTTTTAAGCACAATTTTCTGATATGAAATTAGATAAAAATGCTTATTAAGCCACTTTCACAGCTACACTTGTCGAAGTTATGAATTCTAAAATTGATATGCTTTTATGGAATGAATTCAAGCTGAGAGCTCCAATCTCCTCTATACAATCGCAAACTGAATTTTATTAATAAATTGAGAGAACCGGCATGTGGTAAGTTATTGAGCGGACTTTGTGGATGTATAGTAAGCAGATGATAGGTTTGTTTACATTTTTTATTCAGTTGTGTGATCTTGCATGTATGAGCGAAATTAAATCAACAAAGTAGCGGCTGTCAAGGTCGAATCTCTCAATGAATCAGCGTGAGTTATTTAATCAGAAATTTTAGAGTTCAAGGGGGAAATGTGGATGGAATATAATTTAATTTTGATCATGAACTTTTTAAGTTCTGTTCGATTTTTCTGAGTTTTGAAAATAATGTGGAATGTGAATAGACTTTGGCTGGTGATGGTTACAGGCCTCTTTGTATGTTACGTATTAAGAGCAGGGTTTTGAACAGAAAGGGAAGAGGAAAGGTTTGAAAGTCAAAACTCTGAATTCTTAGATCGCTTAGTTGTTACTTAAAAAAATCCAGTTTCTTAGGTTCTAGAATCAGTTCTAGATTAATCAAAAAAAGGCTAACCAGCATGTAGATCTCCTAATAACTGTCATATGTGTATACTAATGTAAAACAAGTCAGGTTTTGATGGGAATTAAACCCACGACCTCAAAAGAGGTGATTTTTGACAACTCGATTAGAGATTCCTGACGCTCGGCCACCCACACATAAAGCCAGTTCAACGCGAGCCCTTTTGCTCAGCCCTGTCTACTCCAGATATGCTCTTTGAGCCTTATCCACATAGCACTGGCCAGGGGCGTAGCCAGAAAATTTTTAAGGGGGGGGCCCATTTTCGAAAATTAAAAAACCGTTATTTTGTATCCTTAAATCTATATTCATTATTCATAAGTTTAAATATTTAATTCATTATTCATACATTAAATTTAATTTTTCGTGCTGATTTTGACATTTTTTTCATCTCTTCCTCTACATTAACTGGTTCTTCTCTATAAATACTTAATAAAACAATTATCAGATTTTCGTAGGGGGGGCCCGGGCCCCCTATGGCCCCCCCCTGGCTACGCCCCTGCCACTGGCACGGACCTTCCAAATTCCATTGAAACCGAAAGACAAACTGTCATCGCTTGCAACTGTTAAACATCCAAAGAAAGCAATAAAATAAATAAGTACCGGCAATCCTTTGATATTTCCAAGCAGTTACAAATAATTGAACATGAAACTGAACAAAGACAACGAAATTGAAATTCTGAGTCATAAAAAAATTGCGTTAATAAATCAGCGGGAATTTATTTCTTTTCTTTCTTTGCGATTCTTTTCATTCCTGCTGATCACAATGGACTATAAGTCTTAAGAGAGTTACAAGTCTAAATGTTATTAAACCTTTGCTCTTCAGAACTAGTTCAATTGAAGGACGAAGTAGGAAGTTGAACTCAGGATTGGATAAATAGTTGGAGCTGGATTTACTTTGGTCTGTAAACTTCGAATTTACTCGATTTTTGCAACATTTGACTGTAATAACGTGAGCATTATGAAGGATGACCTGATATTTTTTGAAAAAATAAAGGACCTGAAAGTAAACTAGAGGACATCCTACGTGTCTGTCAATTTTAATCGTTTTCTGGACAAACTAGGTCAAAACTTTTCATTTTTGAAAAATTAAAAAAAAAATAATCGAATGTCCTCTGAAAAATTAAGCAGATGATCAGCCTAGCATTATGTCAATTTTTGTCAAATTGACCACACTTGTGTAGTGATAGAGACATCAGGTTCTAGTGCAAGGTTTTGAAAGTCAAGTTTATTTAAAAAATTAATAAAATTACTCGTTGTGGTGGGAATTGGACCCAGAAGAGGATTTCATACATAAAGTCTGCTCCCAAACCACTCAGCATTATGCTTTCTCGATTTCTCGGTCTCGACTAATTCTCGAGACCGAGACCGAGACCAAATCTTCCCGAGAATTCCCGGGTCAAAATTTATTTTCGCTCGACTTTGGTATCGGGAAAGCATACTCAGCATTTCTCACACTGACTGATTGCTTGCGAATGGCTTTATACTCCGAATTCTAATCTTATCTGAAGTTTGTTGTACAATTCCAACTCTGCATATAAGTCGTTTTCTTTGATGAACTTGAACTATGTTGCAGTTGCATTTGTAAGAGCATAAAGTTGCAGGTTGTGATGTTGTTGCTCAAGATATTGAATAACCGGCTAGATTGTTTCTAATTCATGCAATTTTGTTTGATTAAATCGAAGAAATTTAAATTATATCAAAGTATTGTGAACATTTCTCACATAAATCTTATATATAAAATGTGTGAAGGGCCCAGCCTTTCAGCTGAAGGCACTGCGATTCAAATTAGAATAGAATCTATTGTACCACACCCTTTAGACCTACAGTTTATAGTGGAATCCGAACCACTTGCAAGCTCTGCACATTGCAAAGACACGAGTACGTCATAAGACCTGATGTACCCTGCAATGAACCTAGTCACAATTCGTGTGCGCAAAATGCCGCAAAGAAGTCATCCAGATGCTAGTAAATCTTAATTTAGTAAATTATAATAGAAAGGGGGTTGTTCATAAATGCCGTTTTTCCTACAATTATTTTTTAAACAGTTGCTTATTAAATATAGAATCAAGATTGGCACTTTCACTTTTCCTTAGCTTCTAAAGGACATTAAATAATGATTCTTCACTTTGTTCTTTAGTCTGCCTATATAATAAACTCCATACTCCCCTGCCAAATCCTCATTCAAGCAACATCATAAGCAATTGACCTCCTAATTAATTTTTAAGCACTTAGAATCAATAATATCTCGTGATTCATATAATTATCATCCGGAAGAAGCTTAATCATTGTTAAATCTCAATCAGCCTTCTTTACTCAGCATTTCTTGTTCGATTGTTCAGCACTTCCAATACTTATTTTTTTCCCACAATTATTCAATTGTAAACTAAATTTCTACGAGTGCAGTTGCAATGAATTTTTACCTTCTTGCGACTTTTTTGTTCTCATTTGTGAATTCGCAGCATTTTGACAGTTTGGAATTGATTAAAAAATTTGGTTATAAAGGTGAAAGTCACAGTATTGAGACTTCTGATGGATATTTACTGTCAATCCACAGAATTGTCCCAAATTCAATCCCAAAAGTGAAAAAACCACCGTGTTTCTTAATCCATGGAGTCATTGAGTCATCTCTAGAATATTTGCAGCTGCAGGAAGATTCATTGCCATTTGTGCTGTCTGACAATGGATTTGATGTGTATTTGGGGAATGCAAGAGGCAATCAGTACACATCACATAGGAAGTTCAATAAGAATTCAAGTGAATTTTGGGATTTTGGATGGCATGAAATTGGAGTTTATGACTTGCCGCCCATGATTGACTACATCCTGAACTTTACTGGATTTGAGAAATTATTTTTCATTGGATTCTCGCAAGGAGCGACTGTTGGGATGGTTTTGCTGTCGATGTTGCCAGAATATAATCAAAAAATTGAACAAGTTCACTTGACAGGTCCTGCTGTCTTTATGAATCACTTCCCGAATCCAGTTTTGAAATTTCATGGTCGACAGATTGTTGAATTATTCACAGAACATAACATGGTCAATCTAACAGCAGTAAGGAACACATTTCAGCCATTTATGCAGGATTTTTGCCACAAAACAAAGCCATTGAAACTGCTGCCATGCATAATACTGGAATTTATGATTGTTGGTGGAAATATTTACAAATTTGAGGCTGATCTTCGAGCTCTTCGGAATTTTTTGAATGTTTTTACACCTTACACTAGTAAGAAGCAGTTGCTGCATTTTATACAGCTCATGCATTCAAGGAAGTTCCATTTGTATGACTTTGGAGTTGAAAATGTGAAAAAGTATGGAACAATAAATCCACCAGATTATCAATTGAAGCTAGTGGATGCACCGGTTTATATTTATTGTGCTGGTCAGGATGGATTTGCTGAACGAAGGGTTAGTGAAATTTTTTGAATATTTTTATGATCCATAGGGCAGAGGTCATTGCTCGTCCCCAGCTTTTTTGTCATTCTAATGAACTTGCTCATGCCATTCAATTCAATTTTCAGGATGTCGAAACCCTTCGAGACAGCATTCCAAACGTCAAGAACTTCAGACTGATCAAGAACTTTAATCATTATGACTTTGAAGGAAGTAGACGTGCTAAAGATGAAGTTTATCTTCCGATGGTTAATTTTATGAATTCAGCCACAACTGCTAAGGAGGTTCTAAATACAAATGGAAGAAAACCTAAGTTTTGGTGGGTCGGATGGTTTTCTAAATTTTAATGAGCATTTTTGTGATAATTGAAGGAAATAAAAGAAAATTTATTTTGTATTTTGTATCTGGTAGTAAGGAAGTCTATAAACTTCAAAATATAATATTTCAAAAAGATGCCTTACTGGCAGATTGCTTCATAAGGTGGAGCTGTCAATAAACGATCTCCAAACGTGGAATTGAACCGACGTGCGTCCCAGTCAAAGATATAAGTGGTAAGAAAGTTACCTGTTAAGGAAGTTATTGTGTGATCAGGAGGTGATCTTAAAGTATCATTTTTGACAGACGTTATTTATGAAACCACCCATTTTTAGTCATACTTCATTTTTAAATCGTTCTGGATGTTGAGTTTCTATAGTTGAGCCCAAAATTGGTTGATTATCGTCGATACTGGCTCAATAAAGTCAAAAACGAGCCTCAACATAAAAACTCATCAAACATGTAGCCCTGGCATCTCTAGTTCTACCCTAAACCTATAAAAAATATCATTCCAAAACATCTGATTACATCCTCAACCAATTAATCTAGTCTTCCTCACATCTTCATCAATTGTTATTTATTCTCTGCTTTTCTTCCCTACCTCAACATTCCATATATCCAATTTTAGTTCATCAAATGAGAATTTCTTCGCATCTATCTCATTCCGACATCCCTCAACGGTGCCATAAAGTCATTTTTCTTCTCACAATAACGAGAAATTCTCATTCTTTCTTTTTTATTGAACGCTATAAATGTTAAATTAACTTTTTTTCTTTAATCTTATTGTTATTATTATTGTTGTTGGGTTTATTATTATTGCTGCTGCATGTGTGATGTCTGTGCGTATTATTTCGGATTCTATGTTGTGTTTATTGGTTGGTTAAAGGTGGAACAAGTTTATGTTAACAAGCTGGAAACAAAAAAAGCGACAGGAACCGACAGCGAACGAAAGGGACCAATTAGGATCGATTGAGACTGACACGGACCGAAAGGGACCGACAGGAATACACAGGAACAGACAGGAACAGACAGGGACAGAAAGAAACAGACAGGAACAGATAGGAACAGATAGGAACAGACAAGAGCAGACAGGAATAGACAGGAACAGACAGGAATAGACAGGAACAGACAGGAACATACAGAGACAAAAAGAAACAGACAGGAACCGACAGGAACCAAGAAAAACCGACAAGAACCAACAATGAGCGACAGACCGACACGGATTGACATGGACTGACAGAGAACGAAAGGGATCAACAAAAGCTTTAAATAGCTACAGATTGATACCCAGAAGAACTAATTGAGCAACATACAGTCAATACACTTTAATTACAATCAAACCAAATATCAATCCAGTCAGCACCAATCAATATCAGTTACATATTCATATCCCCAATCATCCAAAACTCACCCGAACGACTTCAAATTAAAAATATTCATCCATGCAAGAAATGAAAGTCATTTTCCTTAAGCAAACAAGAATCAGCAGCAGCAGAAGTCAAGAAGAAATTTCATTTCAGTTCCTATTAATTCTTTATTACTGCTGGATATTGACTCCATATCCCTCTCATATATCCTGCCCAATCATACTCATATCTTCATAATTCACCCATTCCAGTTTTATAACATTCAATAAAGTTTGTAAGACGAGGAATTTTTATTATTTCTAATAAGCAAATAATCTAACAAGACTTTATGATTATTTGACTTTGACTTTCCGAGCTCGGATTACAAACAGATGAATGGGGGTAGACTGTAAATGACGTATGATTATGTTTGGTATTTTAAAGGGTGCAAAACTGATTAAGTGATCAAAAAGTAATCAAAAATTATCATAAATGTTAAAAAAAATTGTCAATATAAGATCAAAATGTCATTTATCAGTTCCGTACCCGATCCAAGGGTACAAGTTCCGTACCCTTTCGCTCTTCTGTCTTATAGATGTCAACCATCTAATTCAACTTTGGAAGGAGGCAGGCACGTAACCAGGGAGGGGGGGTTGGGGGACAAAATCATAAAAATCCCCCCACCCACTCCCTCAGAATTTTCCCTATAATTTTTATTGCCCCACTCCCCTCTTCAAATTCCTGGCTACGCCCCTTGTAGGTGGTATAGATGCAAGACATCATTTATGAACAACCCCTCCCAAAACAGAAAATTTCTCATTTTTGCCAGGCATTTCCAATTTACTTTTTGCCTCAGCACTGATTTTTCCTTTCTTATTTGCTTTATTTTGTACACCGTGGAAATTTATGTGCAAACACATGTGCGAGTAAATTGTGAGAATTTATTGACTTAACGGAGGACTTTATTGGTAAGGCGGAATTGTTTATTACACGAAAGTCATTTTTTCCTGCCAATTGGAGAGTGAAAATAATTGTGGATGTGATTTTTTTTTGTTGACTTATGTGTTAAGTTATTAATGTAGTTGGGGTATAGAAGCAAAGGTAGAGGTGAGGGTTTCAAAATTTCTTAGACAAGCTTTGTTATCCGATTCTTGTCTTTCAAAATTACTTACTTCCTTGGCTGGGGTGCAAGTGGGCCCAGAAAACATCTAAAGACAGCTCTATCCTTGGACACCTTCTGCCAGTTCGAGATATTCAGGACTCTAGCGTCTTTTTCCTCACAACCTTGATTCTTGTCTTCCCTGATGTTTTTTGTTGCTCCTTTTTGATCTTTGTAGGCTTCTGAAACTTTCTGACGATTGTTTTCAGCCTTAATTGGGCTCTGTCGGTCCACCAGACTGTCAGTTCACTAAAAAGCACTCTTTCGTCCAAAAAAGTTTCTCATAACCTCAAAATATAAAAAATCCACATTTTTCTCAATTCAACCACAAAAAAATCTTTGTCTTATCCTCCACCAAATTACCGAAAAAAAAACCCAGCAGAAAAAAAAGAGCGAGAAAATTTGAAAATCATGTTTGACGTCATATATTGCACCCATGAGGAATCTCTTTACTCACATTCACTTTATGTTTCCTTCTCCTTTTTAATACAATATGTACATAGCTCCATGTATGAAGTTTTACTTACTCTTTAAAAAATATATGTTTTTATGTATCTTGTACATGCAGATACGAGCTGATATGGTGATGATGATATTTGAGTAAAAGGGGACATTAGCATGTTAAGGAGGTTGGAAATTTTTTAAAGTTTAAATGATAAGGAATGAGATATTTTTTGGAGTTTTTGAGGAACTGACATTACATTTTGTGTTTATCTTAATGCTCACACAAAATTCATATTGTTGAGTATATGAAGAGGCTAAGGAAGGGGGTTTGGGGAACACACAGAATGTTTAAAATGAGAAATGAAATAATTTCTAATTAAAAAGTTACTTAACAAGTTCATTATTATTCTAATGTGGATTTTTTGAATGTAATGTTAGTCAGTGTAGCTTGAAGTGATGGAATCTTGTCAGGATTAAGATAACCTAACCTCAAAATCATCTTTAAAACTGTTTAATTATTCCATCAAGTCTTTTTCAGAGCTTGAAGTTTACAAAATTGTGTCGATTTCGAGCTCTGGTCTTTTCTAAATGATAGTCATAAAAATGGTTTGATTTTGCCTGTTTTGACTTTTCTACAAATTTAAAAAGTTCCTTTTTTTACCCTAAAGCTAGTTTATAGATTCATCAGCGGTTCCATAAAGTAAAAATGAAATTCCATGTTCTACAAATTGAGATATAACCTACAAATTGGGTAGGATAACTTGGGAAGCTTCAGAAACTAACCTCAGTACTGCGAAATATCTTAAAGACAAGGCGTGGAAACTCAAGATTATTCCTAAAAAATCCCAAAAATGCAACAGGGATTTAATCAGGATTTCACATTTCCATGTTTTTTGACTCAGGGATTTTTTTTAGGATTTTTGGGATTTTTCAGGATTAATTCCAATGCGTGGAAACTATACAAAATATCATATTTATCCCACATATCCCAAAAATATTCAAAAAATTCCTGATCATGTATGCACGATAATATAAATATCCCAACGTTTCCTTAGTGTTTTGGACGTGCAATTTCAGGATATGATGGGATATCTCAATTCTAATGCATACAGGCTCAGAGATTATTTTGAATATTTTTGGAATGTATGGGATAAATATGATATTTGGGATAGTTTTCACTCCTTGATTAATACTGAGTTTCCACGCCTTGCTAAAGACTCTAAGTCGGTGTTTCTCAAACTTTCCAGGCTACAGAGGAGTAAATTATTCGATCGTCTTCCTGTACCATAATGGCTACTGGTATTGACACATGTAGAATTTTCTCGCTTAGCAGCATAGTTCCACGAAGCGAAGATTGAAAATCACTGCTCTAAATTGTTGTCATTTTTAAATTGTGCTCCACAAAAATCGGTTTTTTTGACAATTTTATAAATCATATAACAAATAACAGGCGCCATCTAAGGGAGGCTATGGATCACAATTGATCTGGACGGCCAGCGAAGTAAGTATGTAATAACAAATAACTTCCTGCTTCGACATGTTACAAGGAGCAACAAACGTTCAACTTCGTAGATATTTTACAAATTTTCATCCAGTTTAAAGTTGCTCATAAAATAATAAACAGTCAACTGTCACTCATTTAATAGTTCACTCAAAATTGTGCCACTTCGCTGCTTTTTACTTTCGTTTTCATGAAGTTTTAAACTTCTCTATTAAATTGGAAAGAACTTGCTTCCTTCTGTTTGATCCTTTTCCTCATATTGAAGGAAAATCTTCAATCTTGCGACGGGAAAAATGTGGAATTTTAGAATCAACAGAATGTCAAAACTGTAATGGATCCTTTTGACTAATTTCAAAGGGTCTTTTACTGATAAAATGATCAAAATGTAATTTTTCAGTTCCACGCCCTTGCTAATTTCTAGAAGATAAGTCTTGTCATACCTTCACATTGATCTCATCCATAGTTTATGACAATCCAAGTCACAACCCAAATGAAACAAAAAGACATCTTAAGTCACTCCTTAATAGCACACACCACCCCCAAATAAATATTCATTGCCTTTTCCACCTCGCGAACCTCATAAAGCACTTAATAAAAATAAAATTTAATGCACAATGTGCGCCATAAAATTCCAGTTGCTGCATAATTCAGTAGAAAAAATATTTTTTTATGCTTCCCGCGATGCAATGAATTCCATTTTGACAGTGAAAATTAAATTGCTCGAGTTCGCTTGCCATAATTTTTTATCATCTCTAATTTGTCGTGTGAAAAAAGTTTCAAGTCGCATTAAGGAAAATTTGATGTCATAAAAATGAAGAAAAAAATTTTCTTTTAAAAACTTTCAAATTAAAAAGTCGTAAAAAAGTTTTTCTTTCTGGTTGTCGTGGATGAAGAAGAATTTTAAGCAGATTTTATTGGTTTTTTTTTTTTGAGGAACTTTTGTTAGTCAAATTGAGCGAAGAAGTTAAAATGATATAAAAAGTGACAAAAAGTTGAGGATTTTCAGGAGGGATTGAAGATATGAAAGGAAGTGAGCAAATTAAGAATGAATTGACGATTTAATTAAATTTATCTAGATTTTTGGGGGGTTTTGTTCTTAAAGTTGATGTGCTTTAAACCAGAGTTGACAGTGTACTGATAAAGCTTATTTTAAAAAATCTTAAAAAATGGTCTTCATCTTAAGCTACATGATTTGACTATAAAAATGACCACTGGTATGCATTCAACTACCAGAGTCCTCAATTTAAGTTGTTTCTAGTTCCAAAAGCCTCCTCAAATCGAATCTATTAAAAGCAAAGATCTACATCCAATCGACACACATTGAAAGGTTTGCTACCCGGCAGCTGGGTTGATAGTTTAATTAGAATCATGCTGCAACCACTTAGATGCAACTTCCAACTAAATGCAAGGTAGATGCCATGTGGCTGACAATGCCTATTGGCTACGACTTGGTTCTAAATGAACCATTAACCCGGCTGACGAGTGGCAAACATTTCAATGAACTTCAATGTGTGTCGATCGGGACAATATAAAGTGCAATAGATTCATGTTCATCAGTGTGCCTTGGTTTAAGTGCTACTCTTTCTAACAAAAACCTGTTTCTCATTTGCATTACAAGGCTCTGACTAGAGTTCTCTTAGTTATAGTGCGTGCGTACTATGCTGTCCATACAGATCATTGCAATCCATTAGTTTCTCAGAGCTATATAGCTTTTTTTTCTGGATGATGTAAGCCACTTAAGCAAAGTTAAAAAGATTCTGACAGAGTTGTCAGATAGGTACCTTTGAAAAGGTGCCTCAACAGAGCATGGTAGCTTTTGCCTTTGTCTAGTCAACACCTAGGTATAGGCAAGCCTAGCTAAAGGCAAAAAAGTGTGTCTAGTCAAAGGCAATACCTAGCTAAAGGCAATGCCTTTGTAAGATTAAATCTACTATGGAAATTGCCTTTTACCTTTAGTCTTACTCGTTGAGTTTTTGAACAATAATGCAAAATTTCTTTTGTTTGAACCATTGAAAAACTATAGACCCCCTCCAAATGACTGAAACGCTGAATTTTGATTTATCCAAGGCGACAAATTTTTGATAACGACAAATTAAATTTTTTAAATTTTCGACGTAGCAAATTATTGGTTTAAAAGAAGGTATGATTCACTATTATGCTCAAATAAATTCAAATTAAGAAAAAAAGGTGTTTTAAATTAAAAAAAAACTCAACGAGTAAGACTAAAGGTAAAAGGCAATTTCTATAGTAGATTTAATCTTACAAAGGCAGTGCCTTTGGCTAGGTATTGTCTTTGGCTAGGTATTGCCTTTGACTAGGCATGTCTAGGCAAAGGCAAAAATTTCTGCCTATACAAAGGCAATGCCTGGGATAGATTTTTGCCTTTGATAGGAATTCGATAGGTGACAACTCTGGATTCTGTTATAGTTCGCAGTACTTTCAGCCGATCGTAACTTGAACGACCACATCGCTTGACTGGAACTCTTTCAAACATCCCATTTTCCTTTATTATTTTATTTCTATAAAACAATATCAATTTGGAGTCACCAAGAAAACATCCTTCACTTCCATCCCTTTAAGACTATCTTCTTATCTAACCACAGCCAAAAGACTGTGATTACAACGATGATGAAGGCAAAGAAACTAACAATCCAATTGGGAATCCTCACACAATACATCCAATAAAATTATTTTCTAGAGTAGAACAAATCTTAGGGATCGACTCGGTGATGATTTTTATGGTGTTTTGGGAATTTTCCTTGCCAGAAAGGGTTGAAGTTGAAGAAAAGGTGGAAAAATTGACAAATTAGATTTGTAAAATGATGACAGCTGTAATTTAATTTTTATTTGTGAAATTTTCTAGGCAATTGGACTTCCTTTTTGGGGAAATTTTGGTTAATTAAGTTGGTGATGATAGTCAAGAATTCATTAAGACATGAATTTTATTAAAATTGATTATTTCAACTTTATTTCAATTATTTTAACATTTTTGTCCAACTTTCTCAATCAATTCAAGAACACGATCGCGGCTTCCAGCTGGATATTCATCAATACAAACATTCTTATATAAAAATAGAGCCTTTAACTTGTCTAGACCTTGAAAAGCTTTAATGTCAATTGATCTCAATTTATTGCTGCTCATATCAAGCCACTCAAGATTTTTGTTGTACTTGAAGCTGTCAGCTGTGATTGTTTCCAGTTCTCCGCTGTAAATTTCCAAATCTCTCAAATTCGGAAATGCTTTAAAATCATCAGCATTTACTGTAGGAATTGAAGATCCTTGAAGACTCACAATTAATAAATTTGGAAACACATTCTCAAGACCACGTGGAAAAACCTCAATCCCACTTCCAATTGCCACAAATCCAGTCACATCATCATTTGTCTTGCCATCTTCGTGATCACCAGTTACAGCAACAACTTTATCAGCTGCTGAGAAGGTCAATGACTCAATAAAGCAGTCGTATGATCGCGGTGTGGACTTGAATATTGAGGTTTTAAATGCGCAGTTCAAGGTGATGTCATTGCATGAAACAAGACATGTTGTGGCTGCAAAAACCAGAAATCTGTAGAGAAGGTAAAAAAGAACTGAATGAGAATTTATGTGGTTTTTTGATGATTTGCTTACAGACTGAATTAAAGCCTAGATTCTTGAATAGCATAAGTCGGTTTGTTGAATTGAAATCCGGCAACAAGCTAGCATGGCTCTGGTATGTTGCAGGCTTCGATTTAAATCCAGCTCCATGCAATAGTCACACTGGCTTGGTGCCGGATTTTCAATTGATTGTAACCAACTTATGCAATACGAGAAAGTTACTAGATTGAGCTTAAGACATTCTTTCTTTGTGCATTCTCAAACTTACACAATAAATTGTTTCATTTTTGATTAAAACTCTTCTTTCCTAAATCAACGACGACAATGAACTGTATAATCAACAAACAATATTTGAGACTTTTATAGATAACTCTTTGACTGAAGTCAAAATAACAAGAATGAACTCTGTCGTGTAAGAATCTTTAGTAAAGAGAATGAGAGATAATCAAGATTATTCTCTTAAAGTTAATTTTCAACTCACAATTTATATTTTTTATGAAACAAATTTTTAATTATTAATTTAGTCAATATTTAATACTCATAATTTGACTTTTAGTGGGCTGAAGTGGCTTGCTGGTGGAATGGTTTAGTACTTCAGTACCTAATTATTGTAATATTGACACCGCGATCCTTGGTTCGAGACTCGGCATGGGAAATTTACTTGTCCTTTTTTGAATCATATGTAAATGAGGCTCACAGCCTCCCTTTGCTGGCTACTGGCAAAAATGTCATCAAAGGAGTGTTTCGGATTCAAATTTAAACTGAAGGTCTAGGTTTGATTATAACTGACTTATAATTACTACAGCATGATTTTTATCTAATTTTTTTGTAGATTTATCATTCATATCCAGCTCATGCATCATCATCATCATCATAATTGTAATTAATGTGAGATTACTTGAGTTACACACCTCATTTAGAAATATCATCTCGTGCAAATCATTCATTTCCATTTTGATTCTTTTCTGTGATTTGGTTTGAAGATTCACATTCCGTGATATGCTGGTTTAAAAAGATAAGACTGGAAATAAACATTTCTTAAATACGAATCCTATACCTGGGTTTATATGGTATAAGTCGGAGGTATTTAGCCAAATCACTTATATAAATGGCTTTCGAGTTAAGCTTGAAAGTAAACGTTTTAAATTGGTTCGAACCAGGTGTTGTATAGTATGGTAGATGTATCCTAGGTATAGGCCAGATATAGTCAAGGTGTAGGTCAGGTAAAGCCAACACAAAGTCCAAGCTTAGGTCAGGTAAAGAACAACTATAATCTTGGTATAATAATAAGAGAGGGTTCCATCCAAGCGATGTGTTTCTACACGTTGCGGCAAACTGTAGGCACTGCGATCCTCATCGATGATAGATTCAATTGTACCGTATAATCCTGGTATACCCAAGGTACAATCTAGTTCTAGACCACTAGATTCAGCTCAGATTATACCAAAAATTTAGGTTGGTCTGGTCTAGATCAATAATAGACCCTATTTGTATATAAGCACGAATTCTCATCTATATTTCCAATTCACTCACTTATCCTAATATAAACATTTCTCACCGATTCAGAGTCCCTAATATTCATACATAATTCTACACATGCAAGTGTAAATAAAGGCATCAGACATTCATTTCATGCCTGAGATGAGAAAAGAAAAGAGAAGAAAAAAAAAGAATTAAAGAGGAAAGAAAAAATTTACCGCAAATTTCTCATGGGAAATTGAGCAGCAACAAACTTTTTTGTGGAAGGGAAAAAAAAATATCAGAACAAAAAGAAATCATTTTTCACCGTCACAGAATAGGCAACACAAAAAAAGTGTCTGACTTTATACATAAATAAAAATATTTTTTCTTCTTATATTTGTATGTGTGTGTGTGTGCGTATTTGTGTCAGAAAGTAATCCATTAACTTGCACTTGATTTGAGTAATTTGATGCTAGGTGGAAGTTCCTCATTATATTCATGACGGTGTGCCTTATTAGGAATGTATGCAATTCCATTTGCAGATTTTTTTTTATTTCCAGTCTTGTGATTCTTTTGTTATTCTGATCAGAACTTCAGATGATGGAATGGATGTGATGAGGAATTTTCGGTTGTGTTGGATGGAGTTTTTAAGGTTTTGAGATAGATTGGTCAATTTTAGAAATTTGTGCGCCTATTTGGGGTAGACAGTAAACTTTTTCACTGAATATGCTGCATGGTTGCTAAGAAAAACCGTCAGTGTGCCATATTTCATTATCTGTTCGCTATATTTTGAAAAAACAGTGAACTAACCCCCTGTTTATGCTGCATGCTACTTAAAAAAGTCCAAAAATCATCAAAAAATTCAAAAATATCCTTTAAAATCCATCAAATCAATCTGAAATCAGGCATCAAATCACCATCTCATCCAATTTAAATCCATCAATTTTCCAAATCTTAATTTCACATTTCCATTCCTATTCACAATTCAAATTTTTAATCTCATTTTACAATTTTTCTCCATCAACTCATTTTCCCTTCAAACAAATCCAAAATTGTCAATTTCTTCCACCTTATTTCCATAAAATACAATCCAAGTGAGCTGAAGGAATGAGACAAAAAATCACAAAATTTACGTAATCAGAATACTAATTTGATGGATCATCCATGAATGAGCATTGAAACGAAGAGACTTTTTATGGCAAATCAATTTTATTGTTCTTGTCGTTGTGCTTGGGTGTCTTATGATTTAGGTTAGTCAAAAGGATGAGAACTAAGCTACTTTATGATCGAATAATCGTAAAAAAACAATAACATTGGAAATATTCCTCATTTTTTACGAGTCCGTTGAGTTTTGATAGAAAAAAGGAAGAATTTTAAGATTCACGACAGAACTTTTTTTTTTTGTTCTTGGGTGTCCATTGGGAGGCTCTGATTGATGATGATAAGTGCATGAAGATGACTTGATAGATTTTGAGATGGAAATGTTGAGAAACTGTATTCTTTTGTAGTGTAAAATTGATGAAATCTTGTAAAATTTCGGCTTTGTGCATATTTGGGAAGAGACATTAATGTTTTATTAAAATATGATGCATGAAATGATTTTTTTAGAGACCAAAAATTAGCTGTTTTACAATTGATAGCAAAAATAGAGTTTTTGAGAAATGTGCAGCATATTCAGTGCGAAAGGTTACTGTTTTTCCAAAATATGGCGCACAGATCGACTTATAAAAAAAACAGTAGACTTATTAGCAAGTGATAACACTCCTTCCTTTATTTAGCCACCTACGCACTTTAACCAACATAGATTAGCTCAGCTTTAATAAAACTGTTAAACAACTTTCTAAACTGCATTTGAGCCCCATTAGACACCCCCAAATCACCAATACCTCCACTCCCGTGTCTTACAATTTTCAACAGCAATTAATTGATTAAATGCAGCCTCGTTTAATCCTCGTGAGAGAAAAAATTCTCAACTCCTTTTTCATTCCGTCGCTTTCTCCTTGTTGAAATGATTTCGCAATCAACACAATTGCATGAACATTCAGCAAATCCGTTTTTGTTGTATAAGCGGATCATTTTCTTCTTGTTATTGTCATAATAAAGAGATGATGTGAAAGGAAATTGAATAGATATGAGTGAAAGGATGCGAAAACCTGTTGAGATTATTGGCTGGATGAAAGGTGTTGATGATGAGCTGAAGGGTGATGATTTGGTACTAAGCATTGCTGTTTTGGTGAATATTTTAATTTAAACTAGCAATTGCTAGAATTGAAAGTCAATTTTACGAAAATTCGAAAAAATTACTATCTGTGCGTCATATTGGGAAGACAGTAATGTTTTCCCAAAATATGGCGCACGAATGTCAATTTTTTAATTCAATTTTCCGTCAACATATCCCCATCACCAATCCATCCTTATCATCATCAAGCCTTAAAACTCAAAGAAAAAAAAAACTTTAAACAGCCATCAAACTCGAAAATTGCGAATGAATAATTGATTGATACAAAATGGAAAAGGTTTTACATTATCTTAAACATCCCATACGAACATCTCAGGTAAGCTATTTTGGAATGAGTCTATGCTTACCCCTTTTTACATCAACATCCATTTGGAATCCCCATGTCACATCTTTTCAACGTCATCTCTGCCATCGTCCCCATCCACTTTCATCTCAGATCCCAAGCGACATTACGGATAAGTTTACTTTAAGGAAAATAAAATTACCATTGATGGCATATCTCAATTTATGTTCCTTTCATTCTACCATCATCTCCTTATTTTTGTGCTACTTACATTTTATCGAATAAGAAGAATGAATAAGAGATATGTAGAATGAGATGAGTGAATGGATATGGATGAGGATTTTTATTACGTGGGTGAGTGACTTGTTGCGGTGGATTGAGAATGGGTGGTGGTGAGTTGTTTGGGGAAGGGGGGTATCAGTTTTGATATATGTTGATAAAATTGGAGTAATGAATTTCTTAACTAGGTTCAAAACTATCTTAGTGAATTTCAGCTTCACAAAAAAATTTCCTGTGATTTCATAAACAATCAGTTTCAATTTTGAGCCAAAGATCGAAATATTAAGAGGAACACATTAATGTCTTCCCAAATATGACGCACAGTCGTAAAAATTTAAATGTTGAATTAGGAACATGGAGAATAATGCTAAAAGTTGATAAACATTAGCTTAAAGGGCCATATTCAGTGGTAGACATTAAAGTTTTAAACCAAATATGGCGCACAATTTTAATTGTTGTGGAAAATGGTGTATTTACCAAGTTATATGGGAAATTAGTCAAACAGAAGCATCGCTGGTCAATATTTAAAGGCTATGTTCAGCGAAACACATTAAAGTCTCCTCAAAATATAGCGCACAAGTCTAAGAATCCACTAAATGCGCTCTATGCTCTAACTTTCTTAACATTTCCAACTTAGTCAACCACTCGACATCACCCCTTTTATCCACAAACAACATCTTCTTTACAGGTCACCCTTTTATCAAACCAGCACCAAATAAACAAATTTGCTTCAAAAATTCCAATATATCCACTACAAAAACGACACACATCCTCACCCATAAAAAAAGGTCGACAAATGGAAAAGTTTTTGCTTTTTATGGTTTTTTATGTCAAAAAAAATGAAAATGAGCACATGGAAACATGTAAATACACTTTTCCGTACCAAAAATGATCTCGCCTCATAAATCATAAACTTCTATGGTATTGAAAATTACGGTAAATGGCTTTTTATTTAATTTGATGGATATTATTTTTATGTTTATTGGCTTATGGATGATTTTATTGGATATTGATGGAAGATGATGGGGAATAAATGGACATTGAGCATCAATTTGGATAAAGATTTATGA